ATTTTTAAATTATTTTTATTATATATTAACAATTAAATAACATATTAATGAGAGGTAGTTTACAGCAATTTTTATTATTCAGAATATTTCTCAGCGTATCATTTATGTAACTGAATATAAGCCAGAGAGTTTTGCAAGATATAAATTTAATTTATCATTGCATAATAGAATCCAATTATTTTCTTCTTGCTGCAATTATATAAGAGTATTATCTTTTGTGTACATTTACATCGTTTTACTATTATATAAATCTATATAAAAGAATTTTGTGTCGAGTGTTTCGATGTATTACATCGAAATATCAAAGACTTGTTATTAAAGATTGTATCTTGAGATTTTAAATTGATGCCCTACTTCTTATATCTGAGTATCTTTTCTCTAATTTATTATATAAATTTTAATTCTAATTAAGAGAATGTATAATATTTCTTATTATTAATTCTTTCAAAGTATTATAAATGTTTATATAATACGTTGTTCTACTTGTTTTTGAGAAATAAAATCAAAATTAAGTTTGAGACTAAATTTCTTAATGAGAACTTAGAGAATGTCACAAAGTGCATTATGCAATTCTCCTAAATATAACTCGGGAAACTTCATTGAGAGTACAATTATAAATGCAATCCTACTACAACGAAATCCTCGGTCTCGAATTCTCGTGTCTCGAAGACTTCTCGTTCTCCTTTACCAGAACGAGAAGTCAAAAGCAAACAGCAGGTGCACGATAAAATATCTGTTTTCTTGTAAATTATGCGAAATAAGCAAATATACTTTATCCTCAAATTGTTGCACGGTGTGTCGAAAGAGCATTTTTTTCCCATTTGTTTCCCGTGCACTCTTTCAGCGAGAGATGCCAGGGGCGTGTATGTTTGTTTAGCCTCGGTGTACCCTGTTATTAGGGACCGCTGCCCGTGCCCCTCGAAAACCGTAGGGCCCACGCCGAGATTTGGCCGCCGCCCGTGAGCTCGATCGTGTATCCCCTTCCGCTCTTTGCATCCTCATCGCCCTTCTTCCTCCTCTCTCCCCTCCCCCCTTCCCTATCCGTTCTCCCTGTTTCATTTCGTGCGTAAAAGGACTTCTCGAGAGAAAAAGAACGACGAGATAAATTCGGAAGGGGGTTCCACGGCTCCTAGCAGACGTTCTTTGCCTCTATCTAGATCTTGATTTAGATTCTACGGCATTTTAATTTATTACACAAGCGAGATGGCGACGATTATACGAAAAGACTATCCGGTTGGGAAAAATACGCCAATTTTTGACCCCCGTAAGTAAAAAGGCAGAAAATATGGCCTAATAAAATAAAAGAATAAAAAAAGCACATCTTATTAAAGAAAGGATACTAAAAATCAAATGTGTTTTTTTACTCATCAAAAAGAAGTGGAAGATTTATTGCATTATTTTAATTTCATCTCATGTACGATACAACGTAAAGTTTTTCATCTATTTAAAGATATGTTTTTTTATGATTCTAATTGTTTTAATTATATATATATATATATATATATATATATAACATGGGTTCTTCGACATGATGGACCACCCTGAATCAGGTGAAATGCAAACAACCGTGTTTCTCTCGTGCTTCAAAAAGAAACCACGTGGAACGCTCTGTGCACTTTCTTTTAATCTCGATATTTGTCATAAGAAAAGTATGAGATATAAAAAAAAAAGAGAGAAAAAAAGAAAATGCATTTTATATATAACATACTTTTAAAAAAATTATATTTTTAAATTATTTTTATTATATATTAACAATTAAATAACATATTAATGAGAGGTAGTTTACAGCAATTTTTATTATTCAGAATATTTCTCAGCGTATCATTTATGTAACTGAATATAAGCCAGAGAGTTTTGCAAGATATAAATTTAATTTATCATTGCATAATAGAATCCAATTATTTTCTTCTTGCTGCAATTATATAAGAGTATTATCTTTTGTGTACATTTACATCGTTTTACTATTATATAAATCTATATAAAAGAATTTTGTGTCGAGTGTTTCGATGTATTACATCGAAATATCAAAGACTTGTTATTAAAGATTGTATCTTGAGATTTTAAATTGATGCCCTACTTCTTATATCTGAGTATCTTTTCTCTAATTTATTATATAAATTTTAATTCTAATTAAGAGAATGTATAATATTTCTTATTATTAATTCTTTCAAAGTATTATAAATGTTTATATAATACGTTGTTCTACTTGTTTTTGAGAAATAAAATCAAAATTAAGTTTGAGACTAAATTTCTTAAATTATATATATATATATATATATATGTGTATATATATGTATACATAACGATATAGAAAAAAATATATACGTATTTCCTAATAAGTAGTATGTGCTATTAATATTATGTCTACCAAGATTTATGGGATACGTGCTCAGGGAAAGAAATTCATACGTTTTATCGTTTTTGCAATATGATTCGTGGGATCGTGCGACTCCTCTTTTTCTCGATGCACAATGCATCCCTGATGGCATATCCTGCAGGTCCGCAATTGAATACTGTCTGTTTGTACGAATGGCACGTGACAATGCCCAAAGGCCCGACCTCGCACGCGACCGCACCCCGTGTGTCGCCGTTATTTGTTTAATTTAAGGGTATTGTTACGCGCGGTGTTTTCGGTTCGTAGCTCTCGATTTATTTCGGCCACGATCATTTCCCGCATTTTTAACGTGGGAGATACGCCCAACGTGTCGGGGTTACCGGGCGTTGTTAGATCCGATTTCGATTCACAACGTAAATTTGTGTGACCCGACGTGGCGTCCCTCTTTCTCTCTCTTTCTCTTTTTTTGTGATTGATTATTGCCTCATTAATGAAACTTTTCACGTAGCCATTTATTAGCATCCTTCTTTTGCGCGATAAATAAAACACTGTACGCCCTCGCGGCATGTATTATGTATGTAATATTACAAAGCGGATGCTCTCTCGTACGTAAATTATCGTTACGCGGATAACTTAATGGTCGATTAAATATTTTTCGTGTCGTTTTTGCATAATTAAATTTTCATAACTGGTTTGAGAAAATCTTTTTATCGATCAATTGTGTCGGCTACGAAAGCAACCGCGCTTCGCACTGCTTGGATATGTCCGCGCGATCTTACAACAGGGACTGGTACCTGCTGCTGAAATTTTTTATCCGGCATCGATGAAATATTAAATTATCAAGAGAGAAAGAGAGAGCATATTTTAAAGTATGGATTAATAATTTATTAAATAATGGATGTATCACGAAACTTATTGTTATGATAATTACTCGATTCTGGGAGATTCAATCATTTTATTGCGCATTTTCTGTAATTATATTAATTTAATATTAACAATCCCATATATTGGTAAAACAAGTTCAATAAATTTGAAGAGGATTTTTCAATTAATAATGCAACATTAAATTGCGCGATTTTATTCGCCAATGTATTTTATTTTATTTATTATCACTCTAATAATAATATTACGTTTCTTTTTTCTTCATCAATCAAATTTCTGTTGTTATCTAATATGCTTATTACTTCTTATTTTGCCCGTCATATTTTTTAAAACAGTATTAGCGGATTTTTCAAACTATGCAAATATCCATAAATTTTTAATAGTCTCGGTCGGTGCTTACAACCATAGCGAGCATACTCTCGATGGGTTCGGTAACATTTCGTTGGAAGATACCAACATGATCAATCGTCGGTGATTAAGTTTCACGTAAATCAAATGAAATTATTGTCTAACTATTCTAATGCTAATGTAAAGCTGCTATATATTTTTACACACAACAGTCCAAATGTTATATAATTATAAAATATAACGCCACAATATATGACTATAACGTCAATGTGAAAACAGATTATCCTTTTTTTTCGCAAAATTTTTTATTTTGTACTAATTATGTCTATATGAGCAAAAAAATGGAGTATAAAATAATGGAGTGAAAAAATATGGATAATAAATTACATGAGATTATTTAATCTGATAAATAATATCTTTTTCATTTCATTCAAAAAATGTTATAACAATTTTAAAAGTTAAGACAAATTGTCGTTCAGTCTTAATCGTGATATATTTTCAATAAATAAACGTATATATAAAACAATCATTTGTGATTAACAAAGAATACCTACACGTAGAAAACAAATATAAATATAACTATAAATATAAAGATATAAATGTACATATATTGTATATGTTTGTATCTTAACACTTTGATTGCAAGATTATTTTATTATTCAGATGCTTCTCAGTAGACAAGAGAATTTAAGATTTATCATCCTTAATAAGAAATATAAGTTTATATAAAGTACATATAAAGAAAAAATTTTACACGAATTATTTATTAATTTTTGCTTTACAATAGAATCTACCTATTTTTAGAGATAGATTTCTATAAAACAAGTATTCTACATATAAATTATATATATATATATATTTATATTTTTACAAAATACTCTCTCTTTCTCTCTTTATTTTCTCTTCTACTTTTTTATTTAATAATTATATATCACACAAACAAATGGACAAATTAAAACCCGTATCTCGCATTCAAAGTGTTATCAATACAAATATACATAACCATACCCATTTTATAATAATGCTATATATATATATATATGTTTCCGATTAATTTATAATAAAATTTCTTAAACTTTATTATAAAAAAAACTATAAGTGTAATTTTTCACACATTGCGTTAAGAATCACAGATATGGAAAACATTTTTAAGTATGAAGCACTACAATTACGCAGTATTCTTACTTCGAGTGCAGTATAGATGTCTGTATCAATTATATTAATTCAAGAACACTCGCAAATAGTGGTAATAAAATGCCTGCATAATCATGATCAAAGTCTGCATTCATATCGCTGCCGGCTATAGATATTCTAATCCGTAATTCAAAGAGACGTCGCAAAAACACTTCATTCTTTACTGAACATATTTCCGTGGAGATACTTGAATCGTTCTTAATAATTGCCCGAAGCCGGGCAATTTTTCTGATCTGTGCGAATAAAGTATGCTCTGCTAATGTTGTTTCTATCGATAACTTGATAAGCTTTTTCTAAAACTGCGACTGGCGGCTTTGGTTCTCGCGTTAAAATCCAAACGTTTCGTACGCTGTAATGAGAATACATTATAATTTCAAGAATTCAAAAAGATTTTGAAATAATCTGATCTAATATCTTTGAAAGTATTTCTTTATAATTTTAAAAATACATATAAACAGAGTTTACTTAAAAAAATTAAGCTTTACTCTTATTTAAATACAGGAGAATATGAAGTTGATATATTCGATAATAAAAATAAAGGAGAAAAAAACTTATCGTCCACTCAATTCCGCCAACTAAATTTTGAAAATTTTAACTTATACCTTCTTTTCTCAATATATTCGTTCACTCTCCTTTCGTAAATGAACTTACTTGAACACTCCGAGATTTGTACAGCTCCATACTACGGCGTATGACTCGTAGTCTGTGTCTAGAACCCAATAAGGCGCATCGAACGGTAGTGGCAAGGATGGAAAAGTGACGGTCAATTTAGAATCATCGGATCTACCAATTAACCTTCCAATGCCCTCGATACTCGATGCTACTCCAGTTCTAAACAAGGGGACAGAGCTTTACTCCAAGTGGGTAATTGCTAACGACCATTCTATTCCGTTGATCATTCTATTCCGTAACGCTGTCTCTTTCTCTCTCTTTTCTTTTTTTCTCTTTCGCTATTAATGACTTAAAATTACTCTGCAAATGTGTACGTTATGTGTCATACTCACAATGACGAAATTTGCTTATTAACGATCTTCACCGTGTCATTATCGTTCAGACTGTAATTAGCTGTCACACATTTTCCACTAAATTCGAACCACGCAAAGTATCTCTCGACTTCGTACCATTTCCCTAAATACTGAAAAAAAAGACATTTGTATATATATAAATATATACATATATATATAATACATTTTCAAATCTCAATTTGGATACAAGTTTGAATTATTAAAGCATACATAAACTTTCTTTCATACGTGAAGCATAATTGAAAGTCAGAAGAATTTTCATTGTCGGAAAAAATAATAATTATTAATTTTATCCGCTCTATATCATAAAAACTTCATATAATCACTTATGCATAATAATAACCTAGATATCAATTTAAAAAATTAGTAACTATCGGTATATCATACACTATATGCATCATTACGTATAGCATTTATATTTATAATTGTCTCGATATACTCTCACTTTATCAAGTTCCAAATGTGGCGCTGCCTCCAAGTTTGGACACGTACCCAAGAATGGCACTTGGGCTATCGCTGCGTTCGCAATGATAACAATTATAAATATCCGCAACATTTTCTTCTCTGAAAAAAAAATGCATGTTATCAGTCAAGGTTTCATCAGAAATATAAATGTTAGAACGTAAAATTATTTTCGTGATACACACAAATAATCAATTTCATCAAAATGCATCATTACACACATGCAAATTAATGCACGATTAATTCAAACTAAGAGACGCGATCAAATTAGTAGTGTTAAGTTTCGGGTTAATGACATTCTAAGAAATTAGAATCTTCGATCCGTTACATTGCAGGAATGTTACATTCTATCTGTATTCGCTCGACAGACACAAGATTCTGTAAACCTAATTTCAAACGAAATGTTTTATCTTGAAATACTATATTTATGTACACCGAAAATTTTCAATGTAATCGAAAATTTTTCACATTTCCGATTAGATGTGGTTGCTGTTAAAATGACATAGTTCAGATGATATTAAATTTTTCCGCTTACAAGTCGCTTTACGTCGATTTTGATAAATTCTTCGAAAATATTTTTCTGTACTCTTTTCACGTTTTTACAGTACACTGTCAATTTACGTAACTCTATTAAAACTGAAGATAAGCGAACGCGCTCTCTTTTATATCGCGTCGCCGCGGCACGTACGTTTTTAAACTAACAAAAGTGGCCACCCCTTTTTATCTTTTAAACTAAAAAAGATAGACCGTAACAAATATATATCAAATTAAATAGTTTAAACTGAACTTTATTGTGAGCATAGTGGTTGCTTCCAAAAGCTATCTGTAAAACTCGTATAATATGTAAAATATTTACATTATATCATATATCGTTGTATTCGTTTCAAACAGCGCTACAATATATAAATATATACATATATATATAATACATTTTCAAATCTCAATTTGGATACAAGTTTGAATTATTAAAGCATACATAAACTTTCTTTCATACGTGAAGCATAATTGAAAGTCAGAAGAATTTTCATTGTCGGAAAAAATAATAATTATTAATTTTATCCGCTCTATATCATAAAAACTTCATATAATCACTTATGCATAATAATAACCTAGATATCAATTTAAAAAATTAGTAACTATCGGTATATCATACACTATATGCATCATTACGTATAGCATTTATATTTATAATTGTCTCGATATACTCTCACTTTATCAAGTTCCAAATGTGGCGCTGCCTCCAAGTTTGGACACGTACCCAAGAATGGCACTTGGGCTATCGCTGCGTTCGCAATGATAACAATTATAAATATCCGCAACATTTTCTTCTCTGAAAAAAATGCATGTTATCAGTCAAGGTTTCATCAGAAATATAAATGTTAGAACGTAAAATTATTTTCGTGATACACACAAATAATCAATTTCATCAAAATGCATCATTACACACATGCAAATTAATGCACGATTAATTCAAACTAAGAGACGCGATCAAATTAGTAGTGTTAAGTTTCGGGTTAATGACATTCTAAGAAATTAGAATCTTCGATCCGTTACATTGCAGGAATGTTACATTCTATCTGTATTCGCTCGACAGACACAAGATTTTGTAAACCTAATTTCAAACGAAATGTTTTATCTCGTTGAAATACTATATTTATGTACACCGAAAATTTTCAATGTAATCGAAAATTTTTCACATTTCCGATTAGATGTGGTTGCTGTTAAAATGACATAGTTCAGATGATATTAAATTTTTCCGCTTACAAGTCGCTTTACGTCGATTTTGATAAATTCTTCGAAAATATTTTTCTGTACTCTTTTCACGTTTTTACAGTACACTGTCAATTTACGTAACTCTATTAAAACTGAAGATAAGCGAACGCGCTCTCTTTTATATCGCGTCGCCGCGGCACGTACGTTTTTAAACTAATAACGTTACGATGTAGTTACTTCTGCATGACATACTTTGTGACGTTTATAAATTCTATGTTTTGCTAGTTTTTATCATTCATATTGTGTAATCCTCTGTGTTGATTTGACTCATACAATATATCACTGATATATACACTGACACATAAGATTGAAGTAATATATCACTTCGAGTACCGTTCCTGTTTTTTTCATGATATTGCATTAACGATTTGAAAGTCTAATGATCCCCACCTTTCTTTCTTAAGACATTAGATACGAGTCAATTGGCTATACAAAAATTTTATAAAACGTAGATAATTTAAGTTTAGCCAGCTCGATTTCTTATTTCTTCGTCTATTATATTTATCTGGCGAAAGCGGTTATTTATGCAAATAATTCTATTAGCAATGTATTTGCGGGAAGCTTGATTAGTAAAGTAGACGAAAAGAAACAGGGGACTTGGAAACTATGAGCGGAAAGGGGAGGGTGCAGGGAGGGAGAAAGCATCGACGATTTACGATCTAAATAAGATACTCACCCGATGACCTTGATCGTATCCAGGAAAGAGATACGCGTCGAATGTCAATATGCGAAATTGATGTCGATACTCCTCGCGCGACGAACTGTTCGCAGGTGACTGCGGCTTCTTGTTCTTCGCCTCGTGCTTGCGAAGACGGACCCGTGAAGGTTGACTGAATGCGTTTGGCAGAGTTCTGTCAGTTAGTGGGTCAATAACGGTACGCCCGGGGTTCAAGAAACCCGTCTCGAATTTGCCATTGACCAATAGATGATCTCCGATTTCAAAGACGCGTGGATTATTTCGTGATCGGGTTTGAGATGGACCGCTTTCGAAAATGTTTGATCGCGTTTACGTAGAGGTAATCCCGGTAATCGCTAACGGAAATCGACGTCCCGACGCTGATCGAAGAAATACTTGCGCCGCGATAAATAACATGTTAGTATTAACATAGAATAACTTAAGGAAAGCATGTCGACATTTCATTTCAATTTATGATAAAATTTGTATTGTTTTTACATGTCTATTATTTTTAAAGATTTTGCAAACTATTCAATATTTATGTGTAATAGATTACCGTATTAGTCTTAAATAATTCTAATTACTTAACTCCCGTTAAACAAAAAAAAAAAAACACAAAAAAGTTAACTCCCGTTAGAAAAATATCTATTAAAAATATTTCCTTATATTAAAAAATCAGATTCATATTCAAATTTTCTATTTTAAATATTTTTTCATATTTTTATAAATGCAAAAGAAAATATATATATTATTCAAATTTCTTATTTATTTATTTTTTAATAAATTGCTGTGTAGTTAAAATGTAATAGAAATACTATGTGAAATTATTCAGAGAGTTTCATTACCCATTTATATAATTCAATAGATTCTTCTAGCTTTATCTGCATATTTGAATATAAAATATTTGATTGATCGTTGACATTTGGCATCATATCAATTTATTTGTATATGAATTTGAATGGTAGTTTTATATCGATACATTATTATCATCGAAACAAGAAAACAAACTATCAACGATATGAAAAATTGTATCCGTTACGTGACCCGCTTATATTTGTGTTCACGATGAAAACGCCATAACACATTTAGCTTTTACTGGCACCATATCGTGACGCATGAGTTAAAAAGACTTTCCAAGAGTCCGTAAATCGCGTTTTCCCTCGCATAATATACTTACACGACCCACAAATTATGACAATGCGTGTAGAAATCTTACAGAAGAATGCATTTAATAAAATAATTTTTTTCATTAGTCAATGTTGTTATTCATTAATCAAATATAATTATCTTTATATCTATTTACATTTAAATTACAGCAGCCGTATGTTCGGTAATTGATTTTACTTACACACTACCCAGTGAAGTGGAAGTGATAAGAACAAAAACTAGCATATTTTATTAAAACGTTTTTTATAACAATCTTTATTCTTTTTTATTAGTTTCATTTCTTTTCTTTTTTTTTTTTTACATTTGTACGTAAGCCTATAAAACAAAGCGCCGCGCCAACCCTATGTCCTCAGGCGACGACGACGCGCCTACGGGACAATGATTAATGATTTTGCTGTACTTAAGCGAGACTGGTTCTCAACGAAGAAACCGCTACGAGCCTAAGACTATCGAATTAATCCCTGTGTATATGCCCTTGTTAAACGCCAACTGACAGACCTCTTTAGATATTTTTAGGCAGTCTTTTTCTCCGTCTCATTCGGATGCCCGCTCTCCTTCGCGTTTTCCGCGGCGAGCTCTTCCTTAACTTCGACAATGATCGTTTTAGCATTGACGTCGGCTTCCTCTTTTATCGTTTCGGCTACCTTCAGAATTCGTTCGGGAACGGTCTCCACGGACTGCTCGACCTTCGTGGATTCCTCCGCTATTATCTTCGAGCTGTCGAGGGACGGTTTCTCGGCCAGAATCCCGACTTCCGCTTCTTCCCTCGCTTCGTCGTCGTTTAGGGCGATGGCCGATTTAACGTTTGATGCGGCCGTCTGCGAATTCTGTCTCACCGGTTTCTTCGTGGTGGGTTCATCTGGTATGCGGGAGTCCAGATAGGCGCAATCCGCCTGATCGGTCTTGACGAAGAATGTCTTTGATATCTTGTATTTGTCAAGAACGCCGTAAGCCTGCGACAAGAATAAGAATTATGTCAATTATTAAAAGGTACTTAGATTTTACATCAAAAATTTTACTTGATGATAATTACTAAGGAATTAATTGGTAATTTTTTTTTAAACGAGATAACTAATATACTTTGTTAGAATAATCTTTTTTTAAGATAGTAATAATAACAATTCCAACATGATATATGTATATATATATAAATTTTTTAATGTATTTACTTTATTAAGCATATACCTTTTGAAGTACTTCTCCAGGCGGTATTCGTTCCCTCGTCATTACCCAAGCACTTTGTGCATGAACAGGACCGATACCTTGACAACTCCATAAAACGGCATATGAGTCGTAATCCGTTTCGAGTACCGAGTACTTAGTCTCGGGTGTCAGTGGAATTGTGGTATATTTAACCTGAAGTTTACCCTCCTCGGCCTTGGAAGCTGCGGGCTTAATTTCGCCATCCAGTATTCTCTTTACACCGGTACTAGATAATGCCAGAAATATTAATAATGAGAAATTCATTCGTCAAAAGAATGTGTACGAGACGCGTCTATTAAATAACCGAACTAAAGCTGTATAAAATCAAAATTAACTTATTTTATTCAAAATCTATTTTTTTTTAGACATATACATCGTATGGTACGGTCAACAACTGAGTGGATTATTGATTTTGACCGTCTTTCGGAATCATTTCAAGCACCCTCGTCGGAACCGCTCGAATCATCAATATGCTATCCGTGTTTAAAAGCGAATTGTTTTTAAAGACATTCGGATTCTTCCATTCTCATAATTACATTTGCATCAATTTTCATTTTAATTCGCACACTTTTTCGATGAAGCTGTTTTCGGTTCATTATGTTTTCGCGGCAACATCAAATGTTTATTAGCTTTTTCAATCGACACATTTCATGACGTATGTCCGATGATAATGAAATTTTTAGAGTTGATAAACCTGGCTTGAAGCTTTAAAACAGTGTCATTGATAGTTGACACACAACAAATTTAAAAAAATTAATCCGATTATTTAATAAACGCATCTCGTACTCTATATTTCTCTTGAATAAATTTATCAAATGAATTAAAAACGCGGCGTGTATACTTACAAACGATTCGTGACTTCATTGCTCACGTGGTATCTGCCATCGAGACCTTTGGTATAATTTGTCATAACGCATCGAGATACCACTTCGGTTAATTGAAAGTATCTCTCAGACTCGTACCAAACGCCAAGGAACTGAAAAATATCGAGACAGAGAATATTTGTTATTCAAAAAGTTTAACAATCTTAATTATTATACATGTTTTTGCTCAAACATCGCCGATGATATTGATAGCATTATCACACAAATATTCTGAATTTCCAGACCAAATTATTGCATTCATACGCTAAACGATTGACTGAAAATATATCAAGTCAATTATACGAAAATCAATATTGACGATAAGTCGCATGAAGATGTCTGTCTGACAAAAGAAATATGATCTCCACGATGACGAGCCATCAACGAAAAGCACAAGAAAATCCTTCTCGCAGGCCGAGTGATACTTGATATATTTTCAATCAATCGCTTAGCGCACAGATGTAACACAAAATATATATAAAAAAAAATAACGCATGTAATAAAATATAATTAGCTGAAGATGAAATTACTCACCCTTTGCATATCGAAGTTTGCCATGGGTATGTACTCTGGACAGAAGCCCAGACTGGGAATCTGGGCGCTGGCCCAGGCCAGGACCGAAAACGTTAGGATGATCTTCCCGAACATGTCTGATGATGATCTGCCTCGAGTACCCGTTGGGTTCTCAACCTTTATATACATTAGAGCAGGAGCGTTGACCGAGCGGTCTTACCCCCTCTGTGTTACTCACGTGTTGATACTCTTACGGTACTCTCCGCTGCCCGAGAGCCTGGGCGAGCAGACGATGGTCATTGGTCAATGATGATGCGCCTACGAATATCTCTTGGCAAGTCCATCTTGGTCGGCGACGGCGACCAAGAACCAGAAATGCAAGATCCATTATGCAACTTCAGGATGAACGGTACTTCCAAACTATAGATGCCAGCCCCTTCGGGAACATTGCTAGAGCGAGGTCTTCCAACTACGTGGAATGTCAATGCTTTCCCGAATGAAATGCGTGGTTAACGGATTAGAAGAATTTTGAGTCTCTTGGTATCTCTAATTTCGAAATCGTGCTCCTTAAAGACAGTTGGATTAGAAGCAATGAATACTGGTAGATCGCTTTTGAAATCTTTATAAACACTATATATTTATAGATTCTTTTTAACCATCTTTCTGTTTCTTCCATTCTTTTTCTGTTTTTTCCATTATTTGATATTTCTGTTTCTTCTTCTATACATATCAAATCACGAATACGTATTACTAATTCTTGGCATCATCTCGCATTAATTATAATTTTGTTATTGCTATCAAAATTGACATAATTTGCCGAAATTTATTATTATTACAATATTATTAGTATCACTTATTATTATATACCAGCATTAAACGTTTAAAAATCTACACGTATGTCTCACGTCTCTGGAAAAATACGATCAATATTTACATAAACATAATAAATACTAATTTATTACGCACGATTGCTTATATGACATTAGACACACATAAATTACGTCTACTTGAACAAGGCGAATGTCTCGTTCCTCTACCTCATCCCTTCATTCATAGAATCGATTCCAGCGAGCTGAAACCTCACGCGAATCCGTATTTACGTTCGGAGCAGGTGCAGGCCGATCCTCTCTGAGCGGAATCAAAACGAAGAACGGAGATTACCTGTGTCGCGCGGTGTAATTATGCAATCGACACTGCCGAGATTGGATGTACGTGGCATACGGCATCTTGCTGGAACGTGGCCCACTGGTAACGGGTCTCTCGCGCTGTGTGTGCGGCTTTTCTTTTTATACAAAACCGAAGTCGCTCGCGGACCGTTAGCCAACGACGTTGCGCCTCTCCTTTTTTACGGGATTCTTTTGCGAACCGCGAACCGCTATGCGCGTTTCGTGAAAATGATAATTAGTGTTTTGATTTCGATGCGAAAGAGACAGTCTAAAATAATTAACAGGCAACGCGACAGCTACTCCCGGTGTAGCGTATTTTATCAACGGTTTATTTAGCTTCGTTGATTAATATTAAAATAAAAATTACCAATATGTGACTCTGTAGGCACAAAATCTTATGTATAAAAGATTCTTTCTCTATTGTTTTAATGTCAATGTATTTTAATTAAGTATAACAACTTTCTCTCTTTTCTCTTAATTTTATATAAAATAAATTTCTGATTTTATTTTAAAAGTTTCCAAAAAGTAACATTTTGTGAAATAGTTGGTATTATGTTCTTTAACCAGAGTTTATATTAAAATTGTTAAAATTATTTAATAACTAAATTTGAAAAAGCGATTTCTCTGCAAATTTTTATATAGATGTAAATAAATTGGAATATAAAGGGTTCTACTGGGATGAGAGAAGAAAAATCGACAATACACATACTAGTTCGATTACGCTCGCTTTCTTTTATCATGTCGTACACAGTGTTTCCATCTGAATTAATTTATTTTTCGTAAATCTATGAACACTAAGAAAGCACACGAAGCTCGCGCTCCGCTTGGAAGATGCTTAAAATCTACAAAGTTTCACCCGGATGTCCGAAATGAGGAAAAGAAGACGCTATTTTCGCAAAATAGTGATGAAGAATCATATCAAATCAACATTTTTCGCTATTTTTACAAAATTATATGCCAATCATACATCCCTTAAACTAAACCTTTATCGGTTCCTAAACCATTCAATTTATCATTCGATCGGTTTGGCATTAAATTATTCTAAGTGTCATCTTCCTCTACATTCCCGATCCACTTGTCCGTCGAAACCGAAATTCGAGATCTTTGTCTTTCTTTCTTTTTTTTTCCTCGCCGATACGGACACGGTCCCGAGAGAGACATCCGGGTGCATGTGTGGGCGCGCTATAAACATAATTAATTAACAATAAAATAATCTGTAATGCATAATCTTAGTGCGTTTATACGGCTCGAGAAGAGGGGACGACTGAATGTCGGGGCGTGATAAGGGTGGAGGGGGAGGGATAAAGGGAAACGGTGAGACAAAGCCGATCGTGCTTATCTAATTATTATAGGCGACTCGCAAGATCATTCCTCGATCGGTTTCCTCCCGCCTTCGCGATTGCAAAGATTCTTCCTGTGGTCACACATCGAGAACCCACGACGGGTCGTCGCGCCCGTCGATCACGAGAACGCCGCCGCGCGCTAAACAATAATTACTTTAGCTTTATTATCATTTAGTATCACATTACGTTCACTGTGTTTTGTGCTGGCCATTGTCTGCCTGGCTTTGCGAGAGCGCACACCACCCCTCTAACCTCCCTTTTTGCTCCGTTACGATGTACGCTTGTTCGTCACGATGAGAATATCGACGGAAAAAGGTGGTAGAACAAAGAAGACATACCGATCGATTCGTCTCCATCCCGAGAGATTGCAATTACGAGAATAAACAGCAACTTCGAACGCAATCGTATTTCCCGCGTGACGCTTCGTTTGATGGATACGAAGACATTGAGATTTTGAGACAGAGAGAAAAATTTACGTCATTGTGTAATTTTTATTTATACACGACTATTTTATTACCACAGGACTCGGATGAGATAAATTTACTGTCATTAGCGTACATCAGTATTAATCAGATAACATATTTATGCAGTTAATTATATATTAAAATTGCATCTTTCAAGTACAATTGCGCGCGCCATTCTAAAACTTACGTACACAAATCTTGTTGTCCAAAATGTCACGTATTGCTTTAAAAACTAAAATTGTATTTGCTGTGTAATTAATCTTATTTGACAATTTTTATTGAAAATGTCTTTGGTGTGAAGGTATCAAAGTTACACTTTGCTAGAACCTCAATTTTTAGATTCCGTATAATAAACGTATCTTATTATCTTGCTTATTTTGCGTTTCTGACTCCTTACAATTACGATTCGATTAATTGCTGCGTTAAAGTAATCTTTATACTTTCGACAATTTTGCATATGTATATATACATATATGGAATGTGTGTATTCACATTGAAAATGATAAGTTTTCAGGTATGTGTGTTTCTCTCGTCAATCGACCAATTCATTTTTTCTCGTTACATTTTAAAGTCACATTTTCATCGAGGTGGTTTTAAAAACTGTTAAGGAGCAAAAAAGAGGTCGAGGCCCTTCTTCAAGGCACCTTAGGTAATATAATGCCTATCTACAGAGAAGAAAGAAAAAAAAAACGTGACGTCCTGCGTCAAACAAAAATGAAATTATAAAGAGAAGAAAGCTACTTACAACGATCTAACTAGTCTTAACAAAAAATTGAATTACTTCGAATAAATCTTAAAATCTTGTACGTGAACTCATTAACATTTTTCCATTTCCTATGCGAGCTCGATATCGCATCTTAAACGCCTATGTCTCTTAAGACTATGAACACATGAAATCACTGCCCAATCGACCAATTTGGACCCATTTGACAAGGCACTCGAGTCGCTGAGTTACATACCGAAGGATAGAACCGTGAATGGGATATCAGGACGAAGATATGAAGAGGATATGAAAAAAAAAGCGACGATGTGGAAGACGGGATTTTAGAAGACAGAGTATTAACACAACGTCGACGTTTACTAGATATTACAATAAATTGCATTAATAATTTATAAACATCGTGTCTTCCGCAATCGTTTTCGCCGATAATATTTTCTTCCCACGTCGTACTTTCCCCTTCGCTTCGTCATTTCTCATTTCTCTTTATACCGTTTCAACATCCCGACAAGATACTTTCGTGTGTGTTCGCGATCGAAACCGTAATAGTAACTAACTACGTACGAGCAATTAGTTGAAGACGATTGGCGGGCAGGACACCTAAGATCTACCTAAGACAGAAATCGGTGGAAAGTCGGTTGGTCCCTTTGCGATAAGTGTGAAATAAATAAATTCTAGTTCGTCTCTCTTTTTCCGCTCGTTCCTATTTAACATTATTTACATCGTGAGATTAATGTCGCACGCGGGCTGAGGTAAACGTGGAACGTCTTTCCGGATGCCACGTGCCGCGATTAAAATAAAATAACAACAAACAAGACGCGACAAAGAGACAGCGTTTCATTTCTACAGGCTCGTCAAGATTTGGCGCGTGATAATAATTGACTCTCGTGTTTGTTCATTATCGTCCTTGTACTTTTTCCAGATTATGTTCGACGATCGTGTTCGATATATATATATATATACGGACGTCGATCATTAACAAAGGTGTCTTATCAAAACTTATCGCTTATGCGTAACGATGAGATACTTTCTGAAAAATCGCAACGAGCGACCTTAGTATCAAGAAGATCTTTCATTAAAAATCGACTTTTTTTATTTTTGTTATTCTTACAAAGGCGCTTCTCCGGTGCTGCGTGCCGTTCGTCTTCGAAGAAAATGTACTATTTTTTATCGATATTTTTTGTCTACGTTTTCAAATATTACATAAATATTAAATATTATATGCAAATTTATCTAAATCAAAAAAAGTTTTATATGTATACCAGATAGATCGTGTAATTAATGTCTTAACAAGTTGAACCAATGTTTGGCATATTTAAAGCGTACATGAGTGTTAATTATTTGATAGCAACGTGCTTTTTATTGCTCCAAAAAATGTATATTTAAATTTTTGTTCAATTTTATATCTAATATCAATATCTCTCGAAAAAACTTAATTTTGTATGAATTATATGTAAGAAAGAAAAATTTACAATATTATTTATTATAATATATATAACTCTAGTAGAAATTTATTATTAACAACTATAAAAATCATGCTTTTGACCAAATTTATTTTCTTCCTTTCTCTTTTCTCCCGATATTGATTAATATTAATGATGTAAAACACGTGTACATCTAGATATATATGTAGATAAAAGGAATACATTATTATTTCTTCGAATAATTAAGAATCACGATGCACAAATATGTATAAAAGATGCACTCGAGTACGCCAAAAATTGGTTCAACTTTATATGTTAAGATATTTGTAACACCTGGTATACACTTCTTCGTTAAGACGACGGCAACTTTGCAAGTATTATTTTCCAAGAAAAAAATTTGTGCGTTTTTTAACTTTCGAGTTCATAGAAGTATCCAATAAAGGAAACGTGCAGAGCAAATTATAATATTTAGGAATAAATTCGATTTGGATGTAAATTTTCACGATAAAACAGTTTTTGAATATCAGAAAATCAAAAAATATATATTTTGCTCTTGCCTTGCTTCTGTACTTTACTTGTAATGAGAAGGCACATATTACTTTTTATTACATTTATAGACCAAGATAATTCCATGGCTGAACTATTTAAAATTATTATGTAAAGTAAATTCGTTACTTTTGACGATACAAAAAAGTCTTAGAAAACAAAATTATTTTCAAATGTAAAAATCACTCATGCGTTTCTAAACTGTAAATTTTTTGTGCAATAAATTAAAAAACAGATTTCTTGAGTGATAATTCTATGCAAGTCTCAGCTTGTATAATCTTTTGAAATGGTCCGTATAAAAGTCGAGTGTCTCGATCGTTCTAACGAAATCCTAGGAGCATCGGGAAGCTTGCTCCAAGGACTCGTCATTGCGCGCTCGAGGAGCACTCCTCAGCACCGGATGGCCTTTGATCTTGTCGCTATTCATGATTGTATTCGCGATGCAGATTTCTGCTGAGCAGCAGATTGTTGTGCGGCCCCGAGAGATGCCTGATGAGGTCTTGCAGATTGACGAAGTTGGACGACGAGCAGAAGCAGCACGAGAACGTATTGTCCGGGGCGGCTATCACGCCACGGTGCACCGAACAGAGATGCTTAAGCAGATGCGCTTTCTGCTTGAACATGGCAACGCAGAGTCTACATGCGAATGGTTTCTCGCCCGTGTGCACTCGTAGGTGAGTCTTCAGGTTCCACGACATGCCGAACTGCTTGCCGCAGTAGCTACACCGGTATTCACGTACGGGAGTAGACTTGGGCGGATCGTCCGTCGACGGTGGCGGCGGTGGTGCTCGAGCTGGTGGCAGGGTCCAGGTGCCCCAGGGTGGCTCCAGAGCCGCCGCTGATGCCGGATCGGCGCTCGGCGGCCGATGTGACGGCGATGTCGCTGATCTATCCTGCTGCACATCAATTGCGACTTGTTAATAACGGAGGAATTGCGAATTTATATCATTGAAAAATCGCAAGATGTCTTTTGTGTGAATAAGCATCTCGCATGCACGTGATAACAAATCAATTTTGTTTATTTGAATGACACTCTTATTATGTTTGCGACTTGAAATAAAAATTACGACGATTCGACGGTAAAATCCATATAAAAAAGTTAATCAATCACGCATTTGTTGAAGATACGGTTAATATTGATTAAGATATATCGAAAAAAAAAATAAATAAATAAATGTTAAGCGTAGCTTACCGGGTACAGTGGTGCGTAGCTTACCAGGTACGGTGGTGCCGAAACGCTTAGCTGATGTGGCGCCTGCAATCTCCTGGGCGTTTCGAATCCAGGATTGAAGGGTACGAAAGCAGGATTTTGCGCGGGAGCGTTGTGGAAGCCTGGTCTTCGCTTGCGATGGGGCGTCACGACGTACGCCTCCGCAGGTGGGATCGGTATCTCTTCAGGTTTCCTCTTCCCGGGTTCTAAACCTAACGCCAGCCGCGTCACCAACTGTCGCTTCCTCTCTTCGGCTTCCTCGAGAGATTCTCGCCTTTCGAATATTTGCTTCTCAGGCCTGCAAACAAATGAAATCGTTTTGAAAAATTGTTCCAATTTCCATCAGTTCTTTGTAGCTCATAAAATGATTAAGATAGTTTTATATGCTAGTATTGAAAACAATAGAATTATTGCATAAGATCAACGTAAGCCTGACCTATGTATATCATGCGAGCTGTCGCTCGTGACGGAAGCGCCGGAATTGAGACTCAAATTAACAGGATCGGAGCTGTCCCTCCTTCTAGGAGTTTCCATGTTGCTCTCTCTGTTATCCGTAAGGAGACTCTCGCCTTCCACACCTTCCACATCCACTTCCGGCTCCTCTTCGCAGCCTTCCGTTTTAATAAGAACAGAGCAACAGTCCGCGAGATTATTGGACTGTCTGAAAGACATGACATTTTTATAATACAACAAAATCATCCAAATTGCCATTTAATTGTTTGATTATCCGTAAATAAACATTCCACATGTATATTAATAATTATATACAAGTTTAGGGAGATACATTAGATTCATATAATATTTATAAATGTGAACGAACAAAAAAACAGGCAATCAGAGCCAAGCGCGGTGATCGGGCGTAAAGTATTTAATGTCAAAAAATGATAGATAAAAATGCAATGAATGTACTTTCACATAGACTTTTTTATAAGAATTAATTTGAACATTTTGTTTTCCAATTAATTCAAATAATATAGAAGGTTTTTAATATTTTATTTTATTTTATTTTATTTTTTATTTTCGCAAGCTTAATTAAACACAAGACGTATCTGCCAACCTGCTATCATATTGGGATTCATAACTGGAACTCTCTTGGCCTTCTGAAGGCTGCGGAGTCGATATCCTTTCGGGATCAGAATTACTAGAAGTTTGAGGTTGATTGGGCCCAAATAGCTCCGAATTAATTTGAAGAAGCTCGAAAAGTTCCTTCAACGGTGTAAGCTCTGTCGACTAAACAGCACAAAATTTTTTTATTAAGAAATTTTGCTTAACACTTTCTATTAGATGTTTAATATTTTCTGACAGCGTTATATATGTTATATGCGAATATAATTTTTCATTTTCTAAAATTCTAGAATTCGTACCGGTATCAGCGCTTCTCCGTTATACAAAAATTCCAACAAATGATTCAATTGAGTCTTTCGGACGCCGGATAAATGAACCACGTGGTCCAGGACAGGATTCCGAAGTAAACTAGCTAAGAGGGGACTCGCTGCTGCCAAAACGACGCGATGGGCCTTCACGACGGACCCATCGTCGCATGCCAGGGTCACGTCCACGTGACGGTCCCCGCTGTACCAGGCCCCGACCTCTGCGGCCAAGGTCGCTGGATGTTTTCCATAGTGGAGGGTCAGGAGACCGTCAGTATACATCGTCTGAAACAAGAATAAGAAACATTAACATTTATTTGTTTCAAAGATAAGATTTGTTTTCCGTATCAATTCAAGATACATTAAATATATCATCCGCGGAAAAAGAACTTTAAAACGAATCGATTTATTTGTTATTTCTTAGTAAATTTAAAAAAAAAGAAAACATTTTTTTTTGCGTTAGTGAAATTATACGATAAAAAATTCATCCCGCGTCCTTAACCCAATAAGCAGTCTTGCCGCTTCGCGTGTTACGAAGACAGCTTCGTTACATTAATTTCTTCCTTTCGTGTCTTGGCTCTCTTAAGAAACGACGGAAGAGATACTGACGTGTCACAAGATCATGTTTCTCACGTTTCTCTTACATCTACGCAGCTCTCGGTTGACCACGTCAAACATGTTTAATGGCACCAATTATCTAGTTAGACAGATAATTTAAACCTCTCACGCATTCTTTTTTACTCATTTCTGAGTATATTTAATACATTCGCAACTATCTTAGAAGTCTACAAAAAAAAAATTTTATAAAAAATAAATATTCTCTCTCCATACATTATTAACCGAATCGATATATATTTTTGATCTTTATAAACTTTTTATATACTTGACCGACAATTATAGCGCAATAAATGTCGAGCAAAAACCCACAATTTCTATATTTTCATTTATAATATACTTAATAGTTACATAATAAACTAAGACGTAGTTGTATGGTTGAGGTTTTCAAAGTGATTTATAAACATGTCTCGTATTACTGGAAAATCTGTTAATACTGCTACATAACTTATCAGAAGAATATTATTTGTTTTCTCGTAAAATTGGACTCACTTTAGAATTTTTCTCATCAAATGTCATCGACGAATCGCTAATTCGCTCGTAATTAGCTGTTATTTCAAAAACAGATTAATAGATTGTTATTACAACATAATCGTGTAACAGTAAATCGTTGAGAAAACATTTGACTAATACGATAACAATCGCGCAAGAAATATCCCATTCATCCGTATCCTAAGATTTGTAATAGTTTAATGCGGCCACGGCTAAGAATTGAGAATTAACGGCTGATCGAGCATTCCTTTGGTTTCTCAAGGGAAGCCCGGAGAGAGAAAGTTCGGTTTCACGACGGTTCATTTTCTCAAGGAGCAGAAGTATAACTAATATTATGAAACCAACGCCATAAACATCGACAAATTCCGCAATGTCAAAGTGTATGCAATCACACACTGAAAATATATTCGGCCAGCTACCCGCAAACTTTTATTTCTAGTGATATTTTCAAGAGAAAAAAAGTGAACAAAACACGTAAGAAAAATGAATTTAATCTAATTTCATGTGTGTAAAAATGATACTTATGAAAGAATAATCTTATATTGTTGTTTATACGACAACCATTAATTATGTAAATGCACAATTCAAAATCATAGAGCTGCAAAGTGTGTGTGATGGTATGTAGCATGATCTAAGAGCACATCTCGCATACTCGCGCTGCCATGACCTTCAATCGATTGTCCGATCAAATTCGAAAGGAAAGACCTTGGATAAGAGTTACGAAGACGATCCATCGTGAAATTCTAAATTGTCGAAAGTAGCATAGCAGGTTCTCCCGGCGCGAATTGACATTAAGCATGCATATAGATTCACAGCCGGGCTATCGTTTATTTACTCTTAGATAACGTCTCATCGAAATGAATTCCTTTCATATTAGACGTCACAAAGCGCCGCCGTTACGTAACTGAAAAATTTACATCCGCCTGGTATCCGTGCTTGCATAAGAAAATAATTTCGCTGGAAACCTTGGTACACAAGATAGACTGGCAACGGAGAATGATACATCGCTAGCACGCTTAAATCATTCGATCATCTCATTAATATTATGAAATAGGAAGGTCAGTATAAAAAAAAAGAAAGGTATCAAAAGAAAAGGAGAGAGATTAATCTTTTCTTTTTTCATTTTGTAGCCGAGGCGCACCAAAAACCAAAAAGAAGAGAATTTCGCAATAAGATTTTCACGAGAATGTATCACGACGGACGCGGATAATTATCCTCGAAGAAGAAATTTAAAAAAGCGATCTAAAGAGAAAAGAAGGCGAGTCCTTCGGGTAAGAGTTACGACGGCCATCTGCGCGCTCACTCGCATACGTAAGTGACGTCTCGCCAGCGTGATACACGGAGAAAATCGCTAAATAAGGTAATCATTGCTGGACACCGCTGCCGCAGCTGCTGGTTAATGTTAGTAAGCAGCGGCTGAAGTTCAGGGTCGATCCCCGTGCTTGGCCGGCCGGCCGGATTACGTTTGCGCTTACGCGCTCACGTTCTTCTTTCTTCTTCTATTTGGGCCTTGAAGAGTTGCCGGGCAGGGTCTCGTGCCGCGCGCGCGCGCCTTGCTACGGACGTAACAAATGACTGGACGGAGTGTTACCCGTGCGTGCCGCGGTTGAAGCGTAAGGAGAGGAACACTAACATAAGTATGCCATATCAAGCCTCCCAGCGCGCATCAACCCAATAGCATCGCAACATGATACAGACGCGATAACCGCTCATTCCGATGATCTTTATACTTGTCGACTGAAGAAGCGACAAGAGATCGAAGTAAGAACCTTTATCACCGTTACTTGTACTACAGGAATTTTAATTCGCCAAATTATACCGATCTCAAGCCTTGCATCAATCACATTTCATTCCTGATATCGAGATGATGGACAATCAAATATAATTAATCAGCTTCGTCATCTCTCCTAGTATCCGTCCGATTTCAAGCCTGCCCAAAAATTGATAAGACGTTTTAAAGATGTTTAGGAAATGTAGGAGTGATGTTTTTTTAGACACGCGTGTTGTCCGGGTTGCCAATCAAGCTTCATCCGTGAGATGAGATCAGGTAGATTGGCATCAAGTACGCCACCTCTCCATATCTGTCTGACATCATCGCCATTATTTGAAAATTCATTTTATATTTTATCAAATATTATATCTAGACTAAGAAGGGAAGGGGAGGATTATGTTATAAAACTCATGCTACTCGAAGAGAGTAAAGTTAAAGTAGCTCGCTTTTACCAGTCAAGCCGCGCCTCTCGCTCTTGTGTGTGCTATGCTCTGTTGCGCCGAGAGCAAAACTGTCTCTAAAACCGAGTACTCCAATATTCAGTGCCGGTAAGTTACACGATCTCCTCTTAACATCGGTTGATACTTAGTGCGAGATACTACGAGAGAGAAATTTCAATGTACAAATAATGACTACAAGGCATTCGACTATGAAACACACTTTAATTTAAAAAAAAAAAAAAAGAAACAGCCGTTGCAAAAATGATCATTTATGGTACACTGTAAGCACAATGGTAATTTTATTAAATATTATTAAATTATATAATAAAGTATACCCACACACGCCGATCAAAAAAACATAATGTATTTTAACATATTCTTTCTTTCAATTAAAAATCGAAAATATAATATCATTTTGTATAACTTTCTATTATTTAATGAAACCTGAAAGATTTTCGGAGCACAGCGTGACAAAATGTCAAGTAATTATTCTTTTTGAAATAATTGTTATATATATACGATTTTTTTATTTAACAATCGCGTATTTATCAAAATTTATTAAAGTTAAATAACATCTTCATTTCACTTTTGCATATTAATTCCAGTCCATGACGTTCATTAAATGTGTCCCAATTAGCAGCATTACATAAGTACGAAATTGAAAATTGGGAGGCTGCAAAAGAGTAACTAAATTTTGAAAAAAAATTAAGTTATATTAATTATATTAATTAACACATTATAAGTATTGATTAACTTTTATAAAAATTAAATTGCACTTCTGATGTTTTACTTTCCGCTTTAAATTTTAAAAGCAAAATTCGGACGCATTTCAAACAACAATTGCTTCTCATTTCTTTACACGTCGAAAACTGACACCGTTTACATCGAGCGCGTCGCGCTTTCGTCACCGTTCGCGATGAATCATTCGAGACCGAATTTGTAATATGCTGACAGTGACGGAAAAAGAGGGAAACAAGTATCACGATATAAAAATGATGCAGAGACGATTCCTGAGGTCGAGACCTCAGATAAGAGGAGAAAGTCGACAAATTCGTAAACTTTTACCGGGACGGATCGACCGACGTTGCCGCTCGTTTATCGCTCTTATGTGCGTATGTGTAAGTGCAAGCATCGCACACATCTCCATGCATACACACGGACGTGTGCGTGAGTATACTTTCCTTTAGGTTAGACGGTTTGATTGTACGCGCGCGCACGTATGTACATATAGGTGCACGAGGCGACGATGCGCGTTACACATGCAAGCATTATAATCTCCTATCCGGATGGCGGACGTTACGATCTACCATTGAATCGAACAATGGCGAAACTGGGTTACGCAAATGTCGAGGCTGGAAATTAAAGCGCGAGACACCGAAGGGGCTGAGTGCGGGCGGGAGAATTTACATCGCTGCCGAGCGATGAAAAAGATCCGCACGCCGTTGAAAAAAGCGCGCTTAATCATAGGAAATGAACGGCTCGTTAAACCCAATTGCGTAACATGATTTTTCAAAATTTTATATATATGTGCCCTAAAAACTGCGCGTGGCTCTTTTGCCTTTTTACTCGGATTTTACTTGATTTTAATCGTGTAAGAGCCTTACTTTTATATCTTGTTATTTTTATATTACGCTATATCCTTAGCTTATTAATTCCTCGTTTGATTTAAGATCGATCCTTTGTGATAAATTGGTAATTCTTATTCGGATTTCAATTTAAATTAAAGCTTTAGGTTTTAATAATAATATGAATCTAAATAAATGATAAAATTTTATTTGTCAATAAAACGTAAGGAATGAAATAAACGTTCGTTAAATCCAATTGCGTAAGACGATTTTTCAAAATTTTATGAATATATATTATCTCTATATTATGCTATTCTTAGCTTATTAATTTTTCGATCGAAAATCGATCCTTTGTGTAATATAAATTGATAATTCTTAATATTCCAATTCAAATTAAAAGCT